GTAAAACTTCACTAATAAATAATGCCTAGGCCCTAGGTGATGGACTGCACATTGAAGTCTCAGATTAATAAAAAAACACAGGTACGGGTAGCTCTGTTCCATGAGGCAGTTCAGGGTGGTCAACCGACGATTAGAGTGGTAGAAATGGTGAGATGTTGTAGGAAATATAGGAAGGAAGAAAAAAGAACAAAAAACCAGGGGGGTTTTTACTAGATTCAAGTGAGAACGAAGAGAGAAGACTCGCCAGTCGCCACTGCAACTCCCCTGCTTTTGTTAGAGAAGGAAATGAGTAATGATGGGTCACTGGCGAGAAGGAAGATAGAAAGGGAAGCGGAGAGAATAGGAGGAAGATAAGGGAATCGAAGAGCAAGAAAAAAACGGAGGAAGAAAAACAAAGAAAGCTCTTATCGCCACCGCTGTTAGTGCTTTGGAATGTTGAGGACGATGAACAGGACCATTATCAGAGCAGAAAAATGGCGAGAAATAAAAAACTGATGAGAACGATGGGGGCGGATCCGAGGAAAAAAGAAGAAATAATGCGAGCAGATCTGAGAATGATGCATCCGTTCCTCAGATCCATGAAAAAGGAGAAGAACGATGTATCTCTTCCTCAGATTTGTTCATCAAATGGGAACAAAATGGTGCAGATATGAGACTGATGCATTCATTCCTCATATCTGCTCAAATGATGGAAGACTGAACTTGCACCATTGCCAATAGAGAGCAATACTGGTGATTGTTTGAACGTTGCAACGACCAGAGGTCGGAGGAGGGAGCTTTACACCGATGGGGAAGACGATGGAATTTTACATCGATTTTATCGATGATAAATTTCCACCGATTATCGATGTAAAACTTGGGCACAGTGGAGTTTTACGCTGATTTACGGTGTAAACCAACACCTCAAACAAACAGATGTGAAATCAAACCGGAATGTAAACTTTACATCGGTTCAAGCTTCCACCTCAAACAAACGTGTAAATAGGTTGATGACTGCCAAAAATTATTTTTTAATCAATTGCAGGAAAGAAAAGAAGTAGGGGGCAAGCAACAATGTGTGTATGCCTAAGGTTATAAAATGTAACGCAGCCTGTCTAAAGTCTAAACCACCAGCCAAATGGTTGCCTGCTAGGTGGTGGTCCACAAAAATTACACTGTTGATGACCTGGTAGAAATATGAGGCATACATGGATCGCTGATGTCTTTATTTGTGATCGGAGGTATGTAGTACAATATATGTGCTTTCTTTCTGGTAGATAAGAGACTAGTACCCGTGGCCGTGACTAAAGGTGTAAGTTGGGTTTCCAATTTAAAGAGTTTATACTATATTGGGCCTGGGTTTTTGGATTAAGCCAATTTAAAAATTGATGGAATAACAATTCAAGCATTCCCAAGTTGCATCTGTATCATGCTTTCATTTTCTTTTAGGGGTCGTTTGGTAAATCTTTTTTGAAAAATCTTTTGTAAGTTTGACAATCAAAAGGATGATGTGAGCTTTTGTTTCAAGATCTTATTAACTTGAAGACCCTTTGGTTAAAGTGTGTCTTTATGTGTAAAAATGAATTGAAAAAAAAGGTGAAAAGCTACATTTGGAACTTCTTGAAAATAGCCTTAAACAAGCTTTCAACGGCTTTAGGCAACTATATTTTTTTTCCAACCAAATAGAAAAAAACCAAAACATAGGCAGTCGGCTTCTTAAAAAACCGACAACCCATGCAAAAAAACACGCCAAATGGGGTCTTAATATTTTGTTTGACCCAAATGTACATTTTACACTGATTGGGCTAGAGCTTTGGATCAAATCCATTCAAATTTTAAGAAAAGCCCAACTTAAACCCGCCTAAATTGCTTCCCTACCTAAACTGCTAAAGCCCCATATTGCTCTATAAAAACTACAAAAAAGGGTATTGAGATTTACTCCTCACAGAAGAAACGCATCTCACATTGACCTCACAGCCCCATCCCACCATATCCGGACTGATTCGACTATAATATTGCAAATAATTACACCCTACCGACTGGTATCATAAAAGAGGTGATACGGGGTGCATTGATTGATCAAAACTCTTCCTGCATCGTAGAATTTTTTTCAAGAGAAAGAACAACGTCCAATGCTTATGGCCCAAGAATGGTTTTAAGGTGAAATAGAACCAGTTGCCTCACCGTTTCCTGGGTCAACCAATCCGAGCTTCTGGTCCAGTTTTCAAAACCATGCTATGGATGACAGATTGAAATTCAGGCTACCGAAAACCAAACCTTTCAGATATACATGCGAGAGAGTTCAGAATTTTCAAAACTAGGCTCTAAAGAGAGCAATGCTAGCTTGTTTCTGTTCAGCCGGCAGCAATGGAGATTAGAATGGCAGGTAAATAAAGATCGGTAGGTTTGGAGAATGAACGTATCAAACTAGGCAATTGACCCATTTTTCTGTGGGAAGCTTTTTCTTCTCAGTGCGAGAATTTTACACGTTCTTTCTCCATCACTATGCAATCTGTGGCAGAAATGGATTTGAATCCCGATCCTGTAACTGAATTCCTTAAAACAATGGGTCAATTGCATGTAGGTATCGTGTATCTTCATGGTCCTCTTTTTGGGCCTGAACATTCAAATGAGTCGTTTTAGTATACCTAAAACTTTCAGAAATATACATTTAAGTTTAACTCGGTTAAACTAAATTTTTACAGCCACTTTAGTCTCTTTTTCTCACTATTCATCTTCTTCTACCTCTGGACTTCAGATGCAAACCAGTGGCATCAAAGTAACCTCACCATATCTATTGATTAGAATATAGATGTTAAAGTGATACATTTAAAAGTTAAGACAGGCTCAGTTTGGAAAGAGTACAAATACACACATGTACAGTAAATAGGAGTGCCAATTGAATTGGATTTGGTCCAATCCAATCCAATGTGAGCCAATACAAATGGACCAGGTCCAGTCCAATCTAATGAATATTTTCGACCATTTTGGTCTAATCTGTTCACATTTATTTTAATTTAGATTAATTCTAATCCAATACCTATCTACAATTTTCCCTAAAATAAATCCTCATCAAAAGAAGGAAACCAGAATATTAATTTACCGGAAAAATTTATATTTCGAAAAAGATATGGTATGAAAAGAGTTTTGACCGATCAAAACTCACCCGTGAATTTTAATAAATAACACCTAATTGGCTATCCCATTTATGATTTCAGTTGACAGGTAACAAGTTTATCAGATATCATATCTTCTATGTATCATAGTCAAACCCTAATTTACTTGTATGCATTCAAAGTTTGAATAGTCTAATTAATACTTGTATATCACGTGTTGGACGTCAGGATTCAGTGCACGCCGAATATTCTACTCTAGGGATACAGCTTGGATGCTTCATCTAACCCAAGACTTCCTCCAAATCTAACTAAAAATATATATGCAAGTGGGTCGATATCTAAAGAATTACAGAATAGTTAAGTAGATGTTGAAAAGTAATATACTAAGAAGAAGAAAATGAAAGAGATTAAAGGGAATTGCATTAACCATTATATTTTCCTCCCTTCATTATCCATATATTACACTCTACACTATGATTTATTCTTTGTACCTTTTTCAAAGCTTAATTTGTGGAATCCCTTCAAGTTTGAGACCGCCAACGCCTGAACTGTTAGGTGGGAAATTAAAACACTTTGACAGGATTGGCAGGAGGTGGCCAATAATGGGAAGAAAGCGGGCATTGGACCATAAGACCACCGAACTTTAAGAGCCGCCGGTAAATGTCATTGTTTTAAATTTTGAGACCACACCGGAAGTTGACCAAGGAAGCTACCGGTGAATGGTTGGAAACCGTCCTTTTGCTTGCAACTGTGCAAGAGGGGCCTGTGGGAATGCAAGACAAAAGTTATTCACATCCAAAACCCAGGACCACTGCTCAGCGTTTGTTTGGGTCAATAATGGCTCACCAGTTTTGTACCATTGGTTTGTTTGGGTCTATTTGGATCCTGTTTCGTGAGAAATGTGATTTTTTTGGTCCATGTCAGCACCACATCAGCACCATATCTATCATTCATGAGGGTGCTGAGACAAATTCAAAACGTGTATGTGGTGCTGATGTGGTGATATGTTTATATTTGAAATGCTAATGTTACCACAAATAGCCCTTAAAACTTTAAAGGCTTGGCTATGATGTCGAAATGACATGATACTGAAAAAACATAACCAACCCACGGGCATCATAGAAGTGATTAATCAATCAAGTGGGTTTTCATCAAAATTCGCATGGAGTTGTGATTTGTCTACCATGAAAAAAATTAAATTTATCAACAAAGGAGTTGTTACCAACGTGAATGTTTTTGTTACCAAATGATCTATGAAAGATTATGAATATATTGTGTGATTTAAAGCAAAAAAAAAAAAAAGCATAACTTTGAAACAAGAAATTCAAGAACGTTTGTTGTTTCAATTTAAAAAAACACGTACATTTACAACAACAACAAAAAAAACATGTTTTAATTTCCATGTTTTGATTTGCTAGAAATTCTCAACAAAGGAAAACAATTTACATTGAAGAATTAAAATGTCCAATGCGTAGAGCAATAGAATTAGTTTTATGGCACCCGATGGTTTGTAATTATGTTAAAAGTTAGGGTTAATTTATGTCTTAATTAAATAAGGTTATATACAGATGACATCATCTTGTATCGATGATTATCATATAGGACCCGTCCACGGTGGGCCCAGATCCTCTTTGTATTGACAAGTGGCAACTTATTCATTAGGAAAAGCTCTTCATTGTTCTGATTAGGAGGGAAACCCTCACTCTCTAACCACCATTCTTAAGAAATATATGAACAACTCGAACCAGTCAGCTTAATTAGGAAAAGCTCCTCACCGATTCGACATTTCTACTTACGTGCAACGTCGACGACGTAATACCAAAAAGCGAAGTCAACCTCTTTCACGACTTCGTCTATAAATGGAACCAACAACTTAGCTTAATACACAAAGTGAGGGAGCTCTAGCCTCTAAGGACCCGTAAAAAGCAAGAGAAGCCATGACTACCATCTATCCTCCCAAATTACAGCCAAAGATGTTGAATGCTCATCAGACAAATCATTCTGCCCGATCCCTATTTCTCCTGCAAAACTCTTTCATGGCGGCCGGAAAGCTCCCGATTAGAGCAGTGCCGATTAGACGTCAAAGGAGGAAGAGTTGTTCCGTTTGCTCATTTTCTAGTGACATCAGGGCAGTAAAAATTACAAAGGAGAAGGTTGTAACAGTTAATGCAGTTGTCAACGTTAAACTAACTGGTTTGTTGTCCAACCTGGGGCTGGGCAAAGTGGAGGACACCATCAACGATGTGCAGGGTGAAAAACTTCTTCTGGAGCTTGTGAGCGCGGAGCTCGATCCAAGTAAGTAATAACAAAAAATAAATGAGAATTATTTCTGCACCAAGCCTTAGCATTCTGCTTTGGAGGTTTATCAGCCATAAATAATACATTAGCTTCCCAAAACGAAAAAGCTAATTACAGAAGTCAAAATATCATTTAAAATGGAAAGCTGAGTCAAGTCTATCAGATCTCACTAACCCAGTTTCCAGAAAAACTTTCTGGTTTCTGGGTTTCTGGGTTACTGCATTCGTAGTGTTTCCACCAGTTGTAGTAGTAAAGGGTGGCCTTAATTAGCTCACTGGTTTCTGGGTTTCAATCAAAGGGCATTAAGTTCTTGTTAACAGTTGTTTGTTTTGGTTATGTATTATGCTTTGATGATGAAGAGACGGGATTGGAGAAGAAAACAGTGAGGGGGCATGTAGACTGGGTAAGCCAAGATGGGGAGGATGCCAAGTACCAAGGCAAATTCGACGTTCCTACGAGTTTTGGCGATGTAGGAGCAGTTCTTGTGCAGAATGAATTTGGTAAAGAGATTTTCCTAAAGGACGTTGTTCTTGGTGGCATTTCTCAGGCTCCTGTACATATTGTCTGCAACTCTTGGGTTCATTCTAAGTCTGATAACCCAGAGAAGAGGATCTTCTTCATCAACAAGGTCACCTCTCTCTCTATCTCTCTCTATCTCTCTCTCTAATTACTATTATCAATTGTTGTTGTTGTCAAGTTATACTTTAATAAATGTATTTCCTCTATATTATATTCCTAAATACCGCTAGGATTAGTGTTAATAAAAATTAAATTCTACCCACTAATGTTGAAGGACCTTGGCTTGTACTGATATTGTTGAAAGAAATTTGTCTTATTGGCTTAAAAAAAAAATCCTAGGACACAGGTTTAGATGCAATTATTGAATTTGGATTTGGTCCTCACAGTCCCTTGCAGATGTGATTCGAAAATATCTATGCATGAATAAAACCAAACAAGTATGGAGATATTATCAATGAATGGTTGAAAGGGAAACTTACATTATCATGATGATGCAAGTTGACTGGGTTAACTCATATAAAAGCATTTTTTTGTTAAGCTCAGTTTGAAAGGAATACAAATACAATTGTGAAGTGCAAAATCTTGAATTTTGTATTATTTTGTATGTATTTATACTATATAAATTTGTATTTGTACTCCTTTCAAATTGAGCCTTAAAAATAATATAATATAACAGGGTTGGGCTTAGAGTCTCAACCTTGATGAACAAGAGTCCAAGACTTAAAATTCGGCCTTGAATTAGCCATAAACTCAGCGTGTGCAGATCAGGTTTTACCATTCGGTCCATCCCACCAATTTTTGTTGTGCATTAATTGCATAGAAAATGGCATCCATAAAATAGAAGGAAGAACATAGCCTAGCTGGAAGCTGGAACTCAGCCATATTACAGGATGATCAAAGAATTTATTAGTCTTCTAGTTCAATGAACCTTTCTGGTTTTAGTTTGATTTGGTTCACTATTTGAACCAAATTGGATGAAGGGAAAATAAGTGTTTAATCAGTTTTTCATATTGTCACATTTTTTTTTTTAAGTTGTTAAGCACTTTGTAACTTTGGTTCTTTTAATTGTGTCATCCAGTCCTACTTGCCATCACAGACACCAAGTGGCTTGAAGACACTAAGACAGAAGGAACTCGAGAGCCTACGTGGCAATGGAAAGGGAGAACGAAAGACTTTCGACAGGATATATGATTATGACACGTATAATGATCTTGGGGATCCAGACAGTAATGATGACTTGGCACGACCAGTCCTAGGTGGCAAGAAGCATCCATATCCTAGGCGTTGCAGAACTGGCCGTGAAAAGACCAAGAAAGGTATATGAATTTTGGGCTTATAGCTTTACCATTCAACGTTACATGGTCCAATTCCATAGATCTTAAAACACAAAATGAGCTCCCACCCAATATGGGTCCACCAGTCCAGTCCAGCCTTGTTTATTTTAGCCGAAAAGAAAGGTTTATTGGGCCTTCATTTTCAGGCACCGAGATGGGCCTTCCCCCATCTCTGTTAGTTATACATTGAGGAACGATTAGTTATTCCAAACCCCAGCCCAAGTCTGCTCTTTATTGTTTCAGAGTTTAGTATCTAGGCCCAGCCAGGGGCCAATCCCACATCAGTAATGCTGTCAACTGACTCCAAAAATTCAAAACCTGATTGGATTATCTCATATTTGGATGATCCATTTACATAATCAGATTGAATGCAGATTTAGCGCCCCCCCCCATCCCATCGATTAAAATCAAAGTAATTATTTTATGATATATATATATATATATTGATTTAATATATAAAATTTATAATTATATATAAATATAAATATATACTATAAATTCAATATTTATATTAGGTTATATTATTTAAGTTTTTATATCTTTAATTTCTTTTTTTATTTATAAAATGAAATGGGGTCATATTATTATGTCAGTTTTTATTAATGGAATCGCATTTGGATGTTGATTAATTTGATCCAAATCTAACCTGATTACAGACTCACATACATCAGTCTGAAAAATTAGGGGTTTGGTCTAAGCTCAGTGCTTCAAGCCTGCAATATATATTATATATTTAGTGTGTGTATGTATTCGTTATTTTATTTTATATCAAATAAAGTGTAACATGAATTTTAAATACATATTATGTGTTATATAATATAAAATATAAATTTTATATTGACCACATTGACGTTGCAGATCCATTGTCGGAGAAAAGGAGTAGCAACATGTACGTACCAAGAGACGAGGCATTCTCCCAAGTGAAGCAACAGGAATTTACAAGTGTAACAGTTTCATCAGCACTGAATGGGTTGCTCCCTTTGATCAGAGGAGCCCTTGTTGACACCAACCTTGGCTTCCCTACCTTCAAGGCCATCGGCGAATTATTCGACAAAGGGGTGCCCATTCCTTTACATGAAAATCAAGGGCTATTAGAAACAGTGGTATCAAAGGTGACTGATATTAAAGATGACCTCTTACGCTTTGATACCCCCGAGTTGGTAGAGAGTAAGTCTCTCTCTCTCTCTCTATCTCTCTCTCTCTCTCTCTCTCTAGATCTCAAGCATTTTCTGCTTTGCAGGGGACAATTTTTCTTGGTCCAGGGACGAGGAATTTGCTCGTCAGACTCTTGCTGGTATCAACCCCTGTAGCATTCAGTTGGTCACGGTATGATACACCAACCCCTTTCCACCACACAAAAAGAAATTGGACAAATCATAAATTCCCACATAAAATAGTAGACTTAAATAATTGTGCAGGAATGGCCATTAAAGAGTGAACTTGACCCTAAGATCTATGGTCCACCTGAATCTGCAATCACAACTGAACTTGTGGAGAGAGAGATCAAGGGAATCATGACGATTGATGAGGTAACACCTCTAAAGATGATGTTATTGATGGAATACTACTATGAAGAACAGATAAAACGACTAATAACATACTTTGTGATTCTCTATATGCTTGCAGGCTTTGCAGCAGAAGAAACTTTTCATGCTAGATTATCACGACCTACTCCTGCCTTATGTGAACAAAGTAAGAGAGTTAGAAGGGACGACTCTCTATGGGTCACGCACTTTATTCTTTCTTACCCACGAAAATATTTTAACACCCATAGCGATTGAGCTCACTCGGCCACCCACCAATGACAAACCTCTTTGGAAGCAAGTGTTTACGCCAAATGGGGATGCCACCGATTCTTGGCTCTGGAGACTAGCCAAAGTGCATGTACTAGCTCATGATTCTGGTTATCACGAACTCGTCAGCCATTGGTAAGATGCGTTGTAGTCAGATTGAAATCTTCCTCTAAGAGCAGAAGAATTAAATTAATACTCAACTTCATGATCCTCACTCAAAATGAACATATATAAGCCCAAACTTAAATGAATTAAACTCTAAAATGATAGAAGAACTAATGCTCAACTTCTGTTACTTTATCTTTTTTAGGTTAAGGACACATTGCTGTATGGAGCCTTACATAATCGCATCAAATCGGCAGTTGAGTGCGATGCATCCGATATATAAGTTGTTGCATCCCCACTTCCGATACACCATGCGCATCAATGCTCTTGCTCGAACAGCCCTCATCAATGCAAGTGGGATAATTGAAGACTCCTTCTCCCCAGCTAAGTACTCAATGGAGCTTAGCTCTGTTGTCTATGACAAGTTTTGGCAATTCGACAAGCAGGGTCTTCCAGCAGACCTAATTAGCAGGTAAACTGAAAATGATGTCAATTTATGTTTAATCTCCATTGAGAATGGAGTGGTATTATTTACTCTAAAATCTTATACTATCTATTAATGTAAGCATAGAGATAATTCTAACTGATGAACCAACTTCACCAAACTACTAGGGGAATGGCAATAGAGGACCCAACAGCCAAACATGGTCTGAAGCTAACAATTGAGGACTACCCATTTGCAAGTGATGGCCTCCTACTGTGGACAGCCATAAAACAATGGGTCAGTGACTATGTCAACCACTACTACCAAGATCCCAACCTCATTGAATCAGATCAAGAGCTCCAGGCATGGTGGACGGAGGTCAGAACCAAAGGCCATGAAGACAAGAAGGATGAGCCATGGTGGCCTGTCCTCAGAACTCAAGATGATCTTATTGAGATATTGACAACAATCATCTGGGTTGCTTCTGCTCATCATGCCGCTGTCAACTTTGGCCAATATGCATATGGAGGTTACTTCCCTAATCGACCAACAATTGCTAGGACTAATATGCCTACTGAGGACCCTACAGAACAAGAATTGCAGCAATTATTGAAAAAGCCTGAGCTCTCACTCATGCACTGCTATCCTTCACAACTTCAAGCAGCACTGGTGATGGCTGTCCTAATCGTATTATCGACTCATTCATCGGATGAGGAGTACCTTGGAACTCAAAATGAGCCTTCATGGACAGAGGATCCAGTGGTAAAGAAGGCATATGAGCAGTTCAATAAGAATTTGAAGGAGGTCGAAGGAATTATTGATGCTAGAAATAAAGATCTCAAGCTGAAGAACAGAACAGGAGCTGGTGTTGTGCCATATCAGCTTTTGAAGCCATTTTCTAAAGAAGGGTTGACAGGAATGGGAGTTCCCAATAGCACTTCCATTTAGTTTAATTTAGTTTTCTTTTTATTTTTTATGTGTAGTGTTTATAATCTTCATTTAATTCGTATTGTCATAACAAGCATGTAGGATTTTAATCTTATTGGAGATTAAACTCAATGAGTGTTTGATCGATTAATTACATATACACATGCACTTTGGAAAATGGATTTAATATGACCCAAACCAATTTGAATCAGCTTTTGAATACGAGAAGATTATAGACTGATACAAGTTTTGAATGCAAGACCCTAGGATCAGAAACTTTTTAACTTGAGAAATTCATTTATGCTCTGTTTGGGAAGAGTGCAAATACAAATATATTCAATGCAAAAACAAATATATTTAACTTAATTGGTGATTTGGTATTTTTCAATTTCTGTTTTCATCTTTGTTATTATTTTCTCAAGGAACAAAACATATTTATGGAAATACAAGCTCAGTTAAAGAATTTGAAAAAGAAAATTAACCAGAAATCAAGGAGCATCCTGACAATTTGTATAAAGCATGTCAAAAAAATATTAAGATGAAGCACAAAAATACCTTGCATCTAAGCTTCTAAAGGTCTAAAGTAAGATCCGTCCTTAGAGAGCCTTGAGTCCAAACCTCATAAGAGCAAAACTCCTTACTTGTTCAGAGCAAAAGTAATATGCATTCTCCCTATCACATTGGGGCCTAGAAGAAACAATTTTTACCAGAAAGAGAGAGAAAAGGAAAGAGCTTCTAAACTAAAAAAACAAAGTTGATAAAATTGGAAGAAACCAGCCAACCATTGAATTGTAAGAGGATGTCAAATCTTTAATTTCATTTGTCTCATGTACAGAATACAAGGTTGATACCTGCCCGAAAATGTCACTGCTTTAAAATTAAACCATCCCAAACCTTGACCTAGCTAGAGAGCTGCCTGGTGACTGGTTGGACACCGTCCTTTTGCGTATTGCAACATGTCTCTTGACAGTTATCCACATCCAAATGGACTAGGCCCATTCCAATCCGATGAATATTTGGACCATTTTGGATCATCCAATCCAACCCGATTCAATGTTAGGATCATCCAATTTACTCAAATTGGTTTTTTAATTTAGATTTGTTCTAATCCAAATCTGATCCATTGACATCTGTATTCTTATCTTTTATCAATGGGCTGGGTATTGGTTCATTCTGATCCAATCCAATATAAATCCATTTCAGATGGACCAGGTCCAATCCAATCCAACAAATACTGAATTTTGACTATTAAGTCTGGACTGGTCCAATTCAATATCTTATCAGTCGGTCAATCCATCCAAATTGATTTCGATTTGAACAGGGTCCAACCCAAGACCAGTTCATTGATATCCCTACTAGTACCTGGTCAGTGCTGTTTGGGTCAATGGTGCACCAGTTTGCCCATTGGGGTTAAGAAATTGTTTGAGAACACTGATTAGGTTGTGTTTGGTACTGTTGATTTTCAATCTGCAATGTTCTGAGTTAAAACATCATTTATATATACTTGAAACATAAGGGTCTGTTTGTTTGCTGAGAAAATTGGACTGAGAAATGTTGGGATGAGAAAAGAAAAATTTATTTTCTCAGTTAGTTTTAATGTGTTTGTTTGCTGAGAAAATTTTTGTGAGAAAATCCACTTTCTAGTGTTTGTTTGCTGAGAAAATTTTTCTCAACTAAGAAAATGCATGTAATTTACTTTTATGACAACTTGCACCCCCTAAATGTATGACACATGATTGAACTTGCCACGTGGCATGATAGTGTTAATAAACTTGCTCATTCAAAAATTTTACTTAAAAAGAGTAAGAAATGCTTAATTATTTGGACCTGCTCATTCATCATAGAATTTGTTCATAGGCAATGTACTCATCCATAAAAAACCTGTGCATGCATTCATAAAATAGTCTACTAGGAACTAAAATTGTTCTATTATTTGGACCTGTTGATACATCAAAGAATTTGCATTCAATAACATATTTCATTCAAAAAGTCATACATACATCAATAAATCATTTGAATTTGTCTTTAACCTGTAATTAGTTCATCAATGCCAATAGTTCAGCCTATTCATTCCATGTAGTTATAATCATCCATATACCAAAAAATCCATTTGTGGTAAAATTTAACCATTCATTCCACCTAATACAAGTAGATTGACCATCGCAAAAAAAAGGGACAACAATCAAATTGCCAATGCATCCCCAAAAAATATACAAAATGGACGCAAAGGCTCAACCATCAAAACAAGTTTTTGTCATATATAATTAGTACCTAGTTTGTTAATAAATGTGAGTTATAGTTTAAGTCTTTTATCCATCCCTTCAATATGGAGGCCCTAACTTCATTTGAAGCCATGCCTTCCTCAAATTTGGCTCCACTCCGTAAAATGTCATAACTCGACTCTCAGACTCAGCTAAGAAGTCATATGCTTTCATAAAAAATGCCACTGAACATCCTTCTATGCTCATAACATCGGCATACACCTTTTCCTTGCTAAATAAACCAAACCCTCTTTCAACTGCAGATGCAAGTTTCCCAAGATGTGTAGCAATGTTTTGCACTTGTTTAGCAACAATTGCAGCATATGATTTCCGTTTTCCTAAAACTCTTCCTTCTGCAAAACTATTTCCCTCCACCGGCTTTGTTTGAAGGTTAGGATCTCCAGAATTCTCAGTCTCATCAATGTCATCAAACACATGCTCAACATTCGGTGTTGCACTAGTGGCAGTTGCAGAAATTGCACCTTGCTTATTTAGCTCCTTGGTTGTAAAGGCACCATTTCTAGTCACTTGATCATTTCCACATACTAATGCCAATTGGTCATAGTTTGGAATGCTTTTTCATCTAAACTGCTTTGCCTCTGGATGTGCCTGTTCATTTACCATGGGAGTTCCATAATAAGTCACCTTTCGTACTAATAAGTCATCTTTCATATAATTTGTAAACCAAGTGTTTAAAGTATAAGTGTTGTTAATCTATTTTACCTCAATATATGTAGCCCAAACATCAGGTGTTGCATCTATTGTCTTGGTTGAATCATTCCACGCAAAACCACTTTGATTCAAAAGGTTTTTTAATATTACAAAATTCTGCTTGATTGTTTTCAGCCTATTTCGTATGTATCCTTGAGTACATTCAATTGAAAACTTAGTACTAATAGCACGTGCTGCTGCAGTGTAAGTCGGTGATTTGAAATTTTTGTCAACCTTGTTTCCAAGGTTGACCTGCTCAGCAAGTGTGTCAATGAGTAAATTATCAATATCCTGTGTCCAACTCATATTTGTTTTTCCAGTCTTGTTTTCAGGCTGAGAGCTAGAAGAGTCCATTTCTGTTTCATGCCAATCAAATGAACAATGCAAATCAACAATATATATCCATAACACCAATTAATACAAGGTATTTTTGTATAAATAGCAATAGACAATTAATAAAATCAAACATCATAATCAGTTAAAGAAGTGAGTACACACAGAAAAAAAGTTATACAACAAAAGTTATATTATAAAGAAAGAGTTAAACAACAGGAAGAAATTAATGTCGAGCCCTAGATCGATACAAGACATAATCAACCCACATTTGGGTAGCTATTTCTTCTCTGAGACGAGTTCCTTCCCTTGATTGTTCATTTCTACTARCTCGTTGAGATAGTTGGGAGATTTGTGTATTGTCTGCTCCATCATCATTTAAATCATCAATTCCTACATCATCCTCAGTATCAACTGCTTCTCGATCATACTGACGCATGATGAAATCATACGGATCCACACCCATGACATGGTTGTGTAAGATGCAGCATGCAAACACAATCTTCACCTATGACTTAAAAGGGTAATGTTGCTGAGATACCAAGATTGGAATGCGTTTCTTCAATACCCCAAAGATCCGTTCAACGGCATTTCTAAGTGATGAGTGTTGAAGGTTGAACACTTCTTTTGGGTTCTCAGGTTGATATGCACCCTATTCCTTTAGATGGTATCGTGTGTTTTGATATGGTGTAATGAACCCCGTCTTTAATGAAAATCCTGCATCTACAAGATAATATTTACCTATTTAAAATATTAAAAGTTAGAAAACACGTACATACTTAACTATTAAATAAAAATGTCTCTTGTGAGATTTTATTACTACCTTGAGGGACCTCTAATTTATGCTCTCTCCTCAGAGCATTGTTAAGCATATGAGAATCCGATGCGGCACCCTCCCAACCAGGTAATACATATGTGAACAACAAATTGAAAGTGCATGCAGCAAGGATGTTTTGTGTGGGATAAGATTTACGACCTCGAAACCTAACAACACCAGTAGAAGGGACTTTCACAGGGAGGTGTGAGCCCTTGATTGCCCCAACACAATCCGGCCAGTAGATTTAAGTTTTTTATTAATCCTTTTTTTGGGTGTATACGTCATAAAGAAGACTTTATCACTTAATTACCTTGAAATATGGTCAAAAATCATGTTGGTTTCTAATTTCTGGAGGTGTTTCAGTACCACTTGGTTGAATCAAGTACCTATCCTCCAAGCTCAACAAAGCATTCAATACGTT